GAGTTCAAGGCACCAGTCTCCTCCCCAGACCACCCACGCCAGGAGGGCTGGTGGGACTGGCGCAGGATGCGCCGTGCAGATGCCTTTTTTTTCGGGAGTTCCACCGAAGGCCCCAGTGGCGGGGGGTTCGCATGGCGGCCCCACCCCACGACACTCACAATCGCACCACTCACAACTGACAAAAACGCGGCTTCCTCGGCGGGGCCTCCCGCAGGAGGAGCAGGGCCGTGCGCCCGGCCCCGCGAGGAGCACGTCGCGCTGCGGTTCACCGACAGGGCCGGCGGCATACCGTTCCACGTCGGCTCGCGCGTGTGGTCGTACCTGTACAGCACCGCGCGGCGGGACAACAAGGCGGCCCGCGCCGGGCGAGGGCTCTCAGGGGGGAGGAACCTCCTCCTCCTCCTCCTCCTCCTCCTCCTCCTCCTCCTCCTCCTCCTCCTCCTCCTCCTCCTCCTCCTCCTCCTCCTCCTCCTCCCCCTCGAGGGGCGTCCCAGAGGCTCCAGTCCTCCCAGGTTCGGGTATGGCCAGGACCCCAGGTAAGGGGACCCGGTCAGTGGTAGGGCCCCGGAGCCTTTGGAAGGGCCAGAATCACTACACCAGGTTTGCCATAGCTGGCGTTTTTTCGGGTGACGGCAGTTCTGGTTAGTGGAAATGGGACGGGGGGGCGCCCCTGGTACAGATCACTAAACCAGGTTCCACTAAACCCAGTTCTGCCAACGCCCGACAAGTGGGGGTCGAGTCAGATCGGGGCTGGTGGATCGCGCCGAATCGCCGATGCCTTGGCGATGCGGCTCGACAGAGCCCGCTTTTTTCCACGTCGACGTCGCCGATGCATCGCAAACGTCGCCGATGCATCGACGACGCGGCGCGATCCTCCGACCCCATCTATTCGGACCCCACCTAGGAGGCCACTAGAGCGGCCATGAAATTATCTGGAGCGCAGTATCCCCAAACAGGGTTTTTAAACCCACTGCTGTTTCCAAGGTCGATTGCGTGCCCGTCCAGTGCGGGCTGGTAAGGCATGTTAGAACATGATAACATCATGTTTGCACATGAAATGCTTACACGAAAAATTGTGTCACGCATGCCTATCAGGAAGCTAACGCTAGAGGATGGCGTACTCTCTCGCACCTGGTCGACGAGTAAGCTGTCGGGTCGGCACTGTCAGAGGCTCAGTTTTGGCGACATCTTGGAGCTCAGTATTGGAAGGATGTCTAAAATGAAACGGGCTGGACAACCTCTCGCACACGTTCTGACAAGTCCACGTCACACTAGCTTCACTTAGGTCCTCTCTTGCAACTCCCTTCCTTCTCCATCCTCTTCCTCCTCCTCCTCCTGCTCCTACAGACTTACCTACATATATTGTCACTGCTATCCTTAAGACGATCTTCAACGGCTGGAACACTAGCCGCAGATATAGATGTGGTGCGCTTGGGTGCAAAATGGGATGTTTCGCCACTCGAGGTGATGACGCGCTTCATTACCTAGCCTGTCCTATTGCGGTTGACTTCCTGAAGCGACCCCTTCGATTTCTTCCCGAAGAGTATGGATCCGACCCTCTCTCCTCTTTCCTCCCTCACCTCTTTCCCAATGATCTTGAGTCGATGCTTTCATGTGCCCTAGCTCCCGACGCCCTACATTGCTCGTATCAATCGCTTCGTGCCTCCTCCCGCCCCTCCTCCCCCGCCTTCACCCGTGCGCTCCTTGTGGCGCGGCTGCGGGCGGCGGCTCGTCGCTCCCAACGCGCAGCGGACCTGCTCCGAGGCGCCCCCCCCCCCCCCCCCCCCCCCCCCCTCGCCCCGTTCCCGCCCGTGTTTTTTTTTTGCCGCAGTTGTCTGTATGCCTGTGACTCGGACTCTTTCTTTTATCTCCCCGTTTGCGCTTTTTGGCCCCCCCGCCCCCGCCGCCCTGTTCTTGTCCCTGTATCCCCCTACTGCCTTGTCGCGTCGTGTCCGCTCTGTCTTCCTCGGCCAGCGCCTACTCCTTCCTTCCTCTCCTCCTCTCCTCTAATCCTCCTCTCACATCCTCCTTCCTCCTCCTCCTCCTCCTCCTCATCCTCATCCTCCTCCTCCCCCTCCCCCTTTCCACCTCCCCCTCCTCCTGGCCTTTCTTCCTCATCCAACCAGCAATCCTTTTCCTCTTTTCTCCCTTCAATTCTCCTTCATCCTTCTCCTCCTCCTCCTCCTCCTCCTCCCTCCTCCCCTCCTCCTCCTCCTCCCCTCTCCTCTCCTCCTCCTCCTTCCTTCTCCTACCCCACCTCCTTACCACCCTTTTTTTCCCCTCTTTTTGCCCGGGGAAAAATGGTTTTTTTTTCCCCCTCCTCCTTCTCCTCGTCATCCACCTCTCCATCCCGAGCGGCATCTCGGAACCCAGAGTTGCGAGGATGTCTCCAGCGTAACAGGCTGGACCACCTCGCGCGCGGCATCTCGGACCCCAGAGTTGCGACGATGTCTCGGGCGAAACGTTTTGCGAGGAAGTCTGACGCGAAACGGGCCGGACCACCTCGAGCGCGGCGTCTCAGAGCTCCGAGGTGCGGGGGCCTTCTGGGGCCTCCTGGGGTCTCCTGGGGACCTCCTGAGGCTTTTTCCTGGGCCTCACGTGGCCTCTTGGACCCCACCTGGGGCTTCCTGAAGCTTCTGGGGGCTCCCAGGGGGGGATATCTAACATGTGGCCGTCTGGGTCCCGCAGAATGAGGCCACAAGAGCAGGACAAATCAACGAATGGAGACGGGATGTGTATTAACTTGACACGTTCTGATAGGGGGCTTCCTGGGGCCTCATGGGAGCCTCCTGGGAATCTGCTGGGGACCCCTGGGACCTGTTGTCCTGGGCGTCCTGCGGCCTCCTGAAACTCTATGGGGCCTTCTGGGGCTCCCAGGGTCCCAGGGGGGATATGTAACATGTGGTATTCTGGCCCCCCAGGCTGGACCACCTCTTGCGCAGCATCTGAGAGCTCGGAGTTTCGAGGATGTCTCAGGCGAAACGGGCCACGCCACCTCGCGCGCGGCATCTCAGAGCTCAGAGTTGCGAGGATGTCTCAGGCGAGACGGGCCGGACCACCTCGCGCAGGGCACCTCAGAGCTCAGAGTTGCGAGGGTATCCCAGGCGAAACGGGCTGGACCACCTCGCGCGCCGCATCTCCGAGGTCATAGTTGTGAGGATATCTCAGGCGAAATGGGCTGGACCACCTCTTGCGCAGCAGCTCAGAGACCAGAGTTTCGAGGATGTCTCAGGCGAAACGGGCCAGGCCACCTCGCGCGCGGCATCTCAGAGCTCAGAGTTTCGAGGACGTTTCAGACGAAACGGGCCGGACCACCTCTCGCGCGGCATCCCGGAATGCAAAAGTGCGAGGATGTCTCAAGGGAAACGGGCCGGACCACCTCTTGGGCGGCATCTCGGGGCTCAGAGTTCGGAGGACGTCTCAAGCGAAACGGGCCAGACCACCTTTCGCGCGGCATCAGAGAGCGCAGAGTTGCGAGGATGTCTCAAGCAAAACGGGCCGGACCACCTCGCGCACGGCATATCAGGGCTCAGAGTTTGGAGCATGTCTCAGGCGAAACGGGCCGGACCACCTCTTGCGTAGCATCTCGGAACCCAGAGTTCTGAGGATGTCTCAGTCGAAATGGGCTGGACTACCTCTTGCGCGACATTTCAGAATTTAGAGTGAGTCTCACGCGATACGGGCCGGACCTCGCGCGCCGCATCCGGGAACTTAGAGTTTGGAGAATGTCTCAGGCGAAACGGGCCGGACCACCTCTCGCGCGGCATCTGGGAGCTTAGAGTTTCAAATATGTGTCAGGCGAAACGGTCCGGATCACCTCTTGTGTGGCATCTGGGATTTCAGAGTTTGGAGGATGTCTCACGCGAAACGCCCAATCCCGGACAACTCAGAAACGAGAGTTGCGAGGATGTTTCAGGCCAAACGGCCCGGACCACAATTTTTTTTGATGACGTCTCTGCTTTGAATTCCCTCGGCCGGAGTTAGCTTCTACCACAACAATACCCCGTTCAGCAAGCAGTTTGGGGGGAAAAAAAAAAAAACATCCTGAGGATTTCGGGCCCCGGGTTTCTTCATAGGTTTCTGGCGTCGGGGCCTTGAGAAACGTGCTCCGCATGAAAATCGAATCCTGGGGAAGGCACCCAGCCAGATCCAGGACACGTTCCCCTCAGGATTCTTTTCCTCCGTGGCAGAAGAGGGCGCGGAGGATTGGGTGGCTGTGGATCATGACATGTCATGGCCAGGACCGAGGAATGCCCCAGATTCCCCTGCCACCCTCTTCTTATTTCAGCACGTTCTCTGGCCCCCTCGCCCGCGGCTGTGCCTCGGGCCACGACCCGAACCCTCCCCCTCTTCCTGGCCCGCCTCTCCGGCGCGCACGAGCTGAGGCTCGAGGGCGCCCCCCAGGGTGGCACCTGCGCCCCAAGCGCGCAGTCTGGGATCAGACCGCGCTGATTCGGGGCAGCTCGGCCACGCGCAGAGGGGCGTGGGGGGGGGATGGGCGGAGGGCTTCTTAGGAGCACCCCTGCTTCTTAGAAGGCGCGGGCCTTGTCGGTGGATGTGAGGCCGGCGCCTTCTACAGTCGGGGCCCTGAAGAAGGAACCCTTTTCGTTGGGGAGGGGCTCCGCGTTCCTTAAGTGTTTCACAGCTTGCCCCAGGGTTTCCTCGATCGGAAATCGCGGTTTCACTTATGGAAAAATGGGGCCTCGTTCCTTATTTGGGGTTCCTTAGGTCAACGCCCCGACTGTAAGAGACCGCCTCCCTCCCCCCTCCCTCCACCCCCTGCTTCTTAGAAGGCGCGGGCCTTGTCTATGGATGTACAGTCGGGGCCCTGAAGAAGGAACCCTTTTTGTTGGGGAGGGGCTCCGTGTGCCTTAGTTGCTCTACAGTGCTCCTTGGGTTTGCCTGAGGTCTTCCATGGAAAATCTGAGCTTCATGTGCGGGAAAAAGGGGCCTCGTTCCCTACTTTTCGCTCCTTAGGTCAACGCCCCGACGGTAAGGCCGGCGCCTTCTAAGAGACCGCCTCCTCGGTGCCCCCCGCCTCCTCGGTGCGGGTTTGCTGAAATGGGTTGCCGCCCCGGCGCCGTACAAAAGGAGGAAGAGGAGGAGGGGGGGGCGAACCCAGAGGAGGAGGAGGGGGAGGAGGAGGAGGAGGAGGGGGAGGAGGAGGAGGAGGAGGAGGAGGAGGAGGAGGTGGAGGAGGAGGGGGAGGAGGGGGAGGAGTGGGAGGGAGGCGGCACCCCCCCGGGTGCGCCTGCGCAAGACGCGGCTATACAAGGGACGCAGGGGAGAAAAGAGTGCAGTCCCCGATCCGGGCGCCGGCAGCAGCTCCGGGCCCGGGAGGGCCCTCAGAAATCGAGGCAGGGGGCAAGCTGGCAGGAGGGAGGAGGAGAGGAGGAGGAGAGGAGGACAGAAGGAGGAGAGGAGGAGGAGGAGGAGGAGGAGGAGGAGGAGGAGGAGGAGAGGAGGAGGAGGAAAAGGAGAGGAGGCGGAGGAGGAGGAGGAGGAGGAGGACTGGAAGTCGATGCGTGGAGGGCCCTCAGAAATCGAGGCAGGGCGGCAAGATGGCCAGGATGGAGGAGGAGGAGGAGGAGGAGGAGGAGGAGGAGGAGGAGGAGGAGGAGGAGGACTGGAAGTCGATGCATGGAGGGCCCTCAGAAATCGAGGCAGGGCGGCACGATGGCCAGGATGTGCCCTTGGCATCGCTCGGACGTGTGCATTTCTCCTCCGGCGAGGGCCATCGAGGAGCATCCTTGATCCTTTGGCGAAAAACCCACGCACGAAGCCGGAACAAACACGGGGAATGGACGTCCGAGCGATGGCCAGGATGTCCCCCGGGGAGGGGTCAGGGCGGCAGTTATGGGCGGCAGTTCTGGGCGGAGTTGAGTCTCGGAAGGTTCAAAGGGGGAAACAGTTTTACACCGGTGACCTCCACTCGGGATTCGGGGGTGGACAGAACCCCCAACAGTGACACGTCGATGAGTGAATTGTCCGTTTTCGGTTCTCGAGAGGGCGCCGTGGCCGTTATTTTCCAGGCTTGCGCCCGCCTGGTTTGGGCCTCAGGTCGTTTTCACTAAACCACGTTTTACTAAAGGGGGGTCTGTCCATCCCCGAAGGATGTACCCGGGGAGGGGTCAGGGCGGCAGTTATGGGCGGCAGTTATGGGCGGATTTGAGCCTCGGGAGGTTCAAAGGGGGAAACATCTTTACACCGGTGACCTTCACCCGCATTCGAGGCATCCGGGGGGGTGCCCGTCGCCATGGCTTGATTCGACGCAGGAGGGGTCCGGGGAGCAGCACTAATTATTCCCAACCCTCCTATGGTCGGGTACTCGTCTTGAATAGAGCAGTGTGGTCGCCCCGTCCTTCTCCTCCTCCCCCCTCCTCCCCTCCTCTCCTGTTTCCTGTGTTCCCCTCTCCTCTTCTCTCGTGCCGTCGGGCTGCGATCTGCGCAACTGTCGCCACTTTCGTGGGCTCCTGGGAGGCCCAACGGAGGTACGTACAACGCGGACCACCTCGAGACCTCGCGGTGCCCTGGGGGGCTGCGATCTGCGCAAGTGTCGCCACTTTCGTGGGCTCCTGGGAGGCCCAGCGGAGGTACGTCCAACGCGGACCATCTCGGGACCTCGCGGTGCCCTGGGGGCTGCGATCTGCGCAAGTGTCGCCACTTTCGTGGGCTCCTGGGAGGCCCAGCGGAGGTTACGTCCCACGCGGACCACATTCGAGGACCTCGCGGTGCCAACTTTGTTTTTTTTTTTTTTGGGTGGGGGGGGTTTCCGATGGGGGCTGCGATCTGCGCAAGTGTCGCCACTTTCGTGGGCTCCTGGGAGGCCCAGCGGAGGTACGTCCAACGCGGATCACCTCGAGACCTCGCGGTGCCCTGGGGGCTGCGATCTGCGCAAGTGTCGCCACTTTCGTGGGCTCCTGGGAGGCCCAGCGGAGGTGCCCTGGGGGCTGCGATATGCGCAATTGTCTCCACTTTCGTGGGCTCCTGGGAGGACCAGCGGAGGTACGTCCAACGCGGATCACCTCGAGACCTCGCGGCGTTCTGGGGGCTGCGATCTGCGCAATTGTCGCCACTTTCGTGGGCTCCTGGGAGGCCCAGCGGAGGTACGTCCCACGCGGACCATCTCGAGACCTCGCGGGCGCCCTGGGGGAGGGGGGCGATCTGCGCAATTGTCGCCACTTTCGCGGGCTCCTGGGAGGTTCGTCCCACGCGGACCACCTCGAGACCTCGCGGCGCCCTGGGGGGGCGGGGGCGATCTGCGCAAGTGTCGCCACTTTCGTGGGCTCCTGGGAGGCCCAGCGGAGGTACGTCCCACGCGGACAACCTCGAGACCTCGCGGTGCCCGGGGGGGCTGCGATCTGCGCACATGTCGCCACTTTCGTGGGCTCCTGGGAGGCCCAGCGGAAGTACGTTCCACGCGGACCACCTCGAGACCTCGCGGCGCCCTGGGGGGCTGCGATCTGCGCAAGTGTCGCCACTTTCGTGGGCTCCCGGGAGGCCCAGCGGAGGTACGTCCCACGCGGACCACCTCGAGACCTCGCGGCGCCCTGGGGGGCTGCGATCTGCGCACATGTCGCCACTTTCGTGTGCTCCTGGGAGGCCCAGCGGAGGTACGTCCAACGCGGACCACCTCGAGACCTCGCGGTGCCCATGGGGGCTGCGATCTGCGCAAGTGTCGCCACTTTCGGGGCTCCTGGGAGGCCCAGGGAGGTACGTCCACGCGGACCACCTCGAGGACCTCGCCCACCTCTCGCCCACCCAGGGGGCTGCGACTGCGCAACTGCTCGCCCACTTTCGTGGGCTTCCTGGGTAGACACAGCCCGGGGGTACGTCACACGCGGACATCTCGGGACCTCGCGGTGCTCGGGGGGCTGCGATCTGCGCCATTGTCGCCACTTTCGTGGGCTCCTGGGAGGCCCAGCGGAGGTACGTCCCACGCGGACCACCTCGAGACCTCGCGGTGCCCTGGGGGGCTGCGATCTGCGCACATGTCGCCACTTTTGTGTGCTCCTGGGAGGCCCAGCGGAGGTACGTCCCACGCGGACCACCTCGAGACCTCGCGGCGCCCTGGGGGGCTGCGATCTGAGCAATTGTCTCCTCTTTCGTGGGCTCCTGGGAGGCCCAGCGGAAGTACGCCCCACGCGGACCACTTCGAGACCTCGCGGCGCTTTGGGGGGGCTGCGATATGCGCAATTGTCGCCACTTTCGTGGGCTCCTCGGAGGCCCAGCGGAAGTACGTTTCACGCGGACCACCTCGAGGCCTCGCGGTGCCTTGGGGGCTGCGATCTGCGCAATTGTCGCCATTTTCGTGGGCTCCTGGAAGGCCCTGGAGAGGGATGTCTTACGCGTTGCCGCTGCTCTTCTTGCTGCGCTCTTCTGAATTATATGCTGCCCCGCTGATCCTTCATCATTCCCAGATTGCCTTGCGGGCCTCCAGCGGAACCTTGGGATCGACAGAATACGTGCCCCTTGTACTTGCGCCGTAAAGTGTAACACATTCGTGTAAAATTGCTATCATCATCGTGATCATCTTCGTTGTCACAACGTTGCGGCATTTGGCCAGACTCTTAGGCGAGGCTGGAGGCGGCCAAACGGCCCACGGGCGACTGTCAAGATCGCCCGCCAGGAATTCCAGTGGCCCGAGAGCCCCAGAAAAACGGATGCATCTTGTCTCGTCATCGTCGGAACCATCGCCACCCCAACAGGGGCAGGGTAAGTTAGCTCTCCCAGCTTACCACCTCTAGGTGGGGACGGGCGCTCCGAGACCCGAAGGAGACAGTGCCCATCCCCACCTAGGGGTGGTGTAGATTGTCGGAGGCCTCGAGGTTGACACCAGCACCAATATCGGCGGTGTGCCTCCACCGAGGGACGATGATCCCGATCTCTGAGCTGGTGGTAATCTTCTGGCCTCCTAGGTGGCCGAAGGGTTACCACCGGCACCAAAATCGAGGACCATCTTCTCATGGTGGAGGCACCCCGCTGTGTTGGTGCTGGTGCTCCTGCGCAAGCCTCCAGGATTGCCCACCTAGGGGTGGGGATTGTTCCCCTCGTCCAGATTCTCTTCTCCTGGTATCGCTCGGACGTGTGCACTTCTTCTCGGCGGGGATTTTTTGAGGAGCATCCTGGATCGTCCTGCGAAAAACACCGCGCACGAAACCAATAACAAAGATGGATGAGGAGGAGGAGGGGGAGGAGGAGGGGGGAGGAGGAGGAGGAGGAGGAGGAGGAGGAGGCGGAGGAGGGGGAGGAGGAGGAGGAGGAGGAGGGAGGGGGAGGAGGAGGAGGAGGAGGAGGAGGAGGAGGAGGAGGAGGGAGGAGGGAGGAGGAGGAGGAGGAGGAGGAGGAGGAGGGAGGAGGAGGAGGAGGAGGAGGAGGAGGAGGAGGAGGAGGAGGAGGAGGAGGAGGAGGAGGAGGGAGGAGGAGGAGGGGAGGAAGGAGGAGGAGGAGGGAGGAGGAGGAGGAGGAGGAGGAGGAGGATGGATGGAGGAGGAAGGAGGAGGAGGAGGCGGAGGAGGAGGAGGAGGGAGGAGGCGAGGAAGAGGCGCAGAGGAGGAGGAGGAGGGGAGGGGAGGAGGAGGAGGAGGAGGAGGAGTACAATGTGGAAGAGGAGGAGGACGAGGAGGAGGAGGAGGAGGCGAGTGCCTCCCCGTCGCGTGGCGCGCCCGACGGCCGCGGCGCCTCCCGGCGGAGAGGCGCCCACGCAGCTCGCGGGCTACGGCGTGGGCCTCCCGATGTCCCGGCTCTACGCGCGCTACCTGGGAGGCGCCCCGGCGGCTCGGGCCTCCGCCGTCCCCTGGCGCGCCGCGCCCCCGTGGGGGCCGCCGTCGTCGTCGTCGTCGTCGTCGTCGTCGTCGTCGTCGTCGTCGTCGTCGTCGTCGTCGTCGTCCTCGTCCTCGTCGTCGTCCTCGTCGTCCTCGTCGTCGTCGTCGTCGTCCTCGTCCTCGTCCTCGTCGTCCTCCTCGTCGTTCTCGTCGTCGTCGTCCTCGTCGTCGTCGTCCGACGTCCGACGTCCGACGTGCGTCGTCGTCCGTCGTGGTCGCCGTCGTTGTCGGTCGTCCTCGTCGCCATGGACGCCCCGGAGAGCGTCACTCCGCCTACCAGGCCCGCTCTCAGCGGGAAGTCGTTGTCTTAGCCAGTTGGGTGAAAAATTTGGCCAGCGTGGACCCCAGCCAGCTTGCGTCTAGCAGTATCTGTGCTGCGATCTACATGCGTGGAGCAACGAGTTGCAGTCTATGCGGCGCAACGTCTGCTGTGCAGTCAATGTTGTGCAGTCTACCTGATGACTTTTACGTGGTGGAATTTGTTTTTGTTCGCAGTGAGTTGTCCACTCCACTGCTCGCGCAAACATCCCACCCACCCACCCGCAACTTGGTTTGCAAAACCTCTTGAGACCGTGACGGTGGGTACCAAGTGGCACTTGACACGACACCGACGACGACAGCGACAACGACGACGACGACGCCGCCGACAACGACTACGACGACGCCGACGACGTCTCCAACAACTTCGACGACGCCGGCAACAACGACGACGACGACGACACCGACGACTACGACGACGACGCCGACGCCGACGACGACGACGACGATGACAACACCGACGACGACGACGCCGAAGACGACGACGACGCCGACGACGACGACGACGCCGACGACGACGACGCCGCCAACGAAGACGACGACGACGACGACGACGAGGAGAGGGAGGACGACGACGGCGACGACGACAACGACGAGGGAGGAGGGAGGACGGCGACGCCCACGACGACAACGACGAGGGAGGAGGGAAGACGACGACGACGGCGACGAAATAGGAAGGACGACGACGAGACGCCGACGACGGACGACGACGTCGAGGGAAGAGGAAGGACGACCACGGCGACAACGACGACGGAAACGACGACGACGCCAAGACGACGACGACGACGAGGAGGAAAGACAAAGGACGACGACGACGACGAGGGAGGAGGGAGGACGGCGACGACGACGACGACGCAAGAGCGCGCGCGCACGCTTTTGTTGAAAATCCGTGTTGCGAAACCCTGTGTTTTGTATGTTTTTTGTGCACTCGATTTTGAAATCCTTCCGACACCGAAGGTTTTTGAAGGATTTCGGCATGCGCGCGCGACGACGCGCGCGTCTGCACACTTCGTCCCATTCTCTGCAGAGGGTTCTCGCGACGGCACGTGCGCAAGGGCGTTCAAATGATTTCGACATTCGCGCGCGTGACGCCCGTTTGGTAGCACTTTGACAAATATTGCAAAACCTATGGTTTGCTTAAGATTTCGCAAGAGCGCGCGCGTCAGCTTTTTTAGAAGATCCGTGTTGCGAAACCCTGTGTGTTTGTATGTCTGTTTTTCAATTCGATTTTGAAACCCTTCCGGCACCCAAGGTTTTTGAAGGATTTCGGCATGCGCGCGACGACGCGCGCGTGCGCATTTCGCCTTTGTTTGCAAGTTTTTTTTTTTTTTTTTTTTTTTTTTTTTTTTTTTTTTTTTTTTTTTTTTTTTTTTTTTTTTTTTTTTTTTTTCGTGTTTTTTTGTTCTCAAATTTGTGATATTTGATAAACGAGAGCGCGCGCATAGTATTTTGTGTAGAGGATGGCGGGGGGGGCGATACCGGTTTGACTGGGATCATACGAGTTCACATTTACAATGGACGATGGGGCAGAATCATATCTACATTGCAATACGAAATAGGCTTCCGTTAACTCCGGGGTGGGGGGTAGAGTCTGTTCGCCTTGTAGAAAAGGAGAATTTACGCAATGCAATGCAAGCTGGGCAATCTATGTGGTGCAATTCACGATGCTCACCAAGGAGTTGTCAACTCCATTGCTCGGGCAATCATCCCACCCACGCACCCGCAACTTCAATTGCAAAACTCATGCGGCGGCGATTGCGGTGGCTGCTTGGCGCTGGCTGGGGCATCGTTGCGGCCGCCGCGCTAGCGCGCGCAGGCTCGCGCGCAGAGCGGCCAGCTAGTGGCGCGACCGACGCGGCCGCGGTGGCGCTGGCCGCTGGGGACTTTCCAACGCGTTTCGCAGGCCGCGCTGACGCGTGGGCACGTCAGTGCGAGTCGGTGACTCGGGCAGGCGCGGTAGCATGGCGACGCTGACAACCCCCATGGTGTTGTTTGGCGCGGATCGTGCCCCCCCCCCTTTCCCAGCAAACGCGCAAAAAACATTCGAATGATTTTGACATGTCCGCGCGAGAGGCTTTTCTGTTTAGCCACATGTGATGAGCATGTTGAAGAATCCCTGGCTGGTTCGCAAGATTCGCAAGAGCTCGCGCAGATAGGTTTGAAACAGATACGGTGTCATACCCGTGTTTCTATATGTGGTCGGGAACATTGACCTTGATACCCTTACGGAATTTACGGTTCCGGACACGCGCGCGTGTGGGGTGTCCTTTTTTACTCGGCAAGGGACTATTGAAATTGTAGGGATGTTGTCAGTCCAGCGCGCGCGCGTTGTACGATTTGACATGGACGAGGGGAAGCGATAAGGCTTCTAGTTGGGACAGTACGAATTCATATCCCGCTACTTGCGGCAAGCCCCACCCCCGCGCCTCAGCAACAGCGCGGCAGGAAGGAGGCCGAGTGTAGGAACAGCGCAACTCCGACGAGCGGTTTGAATTTGGACGCGTCGTGAACCCAACCTCGTCTTCGACCCCTTGTAGGGAGGAGGTCGAATTCACGCCCCAGTGCAGTTCAGCGAGTGGTCTGACTTGGGACGGGTCGTGAATTAGTTTTTGTTTCGCCCACGCGGTAAGAAAAAGGTGGTTTTAACGCCTCGCTGCATTTCAGCGAGTGGTCTGAACTGGAACGGCTCGTGAGCTCGACCTCGTCTTCGTCCGCGTGGTAGAAAAGAGGTCGATTTGACGCCGTTCCGCAATTCAGTGGTCTGTCTGAACTGAGGAGGGTCGTGATCTCGCCCCCAGCTTGGTCCACACGCCCGGAGGGATTCGAATTTACGATCCGCGGCAGTTCAGCGAAGGGTCTGAACTGAGGTGGGTCGTGATCTCGACCTGAGGTTCGCCCGCAAAGTATGGAAGATGGGGAGAGGAGGACGAGGAGGAGGAGGGAGGAGGAGGAGGAGGATGAGGAGGAGGAGCAGGAGCAGGACCAGGAGCAGGACCACTTAGTGGGACCACTTATTTAACGTCCTATGCGGTCAAGCGGTTAAGTGTCACGCCACCTAAGACGAGGAAGCGACGACGGGCACGATGTGGGCTAGTCGCCTGGCGACTCGCTGCCCCGCCAGCGGTTCCCTGCAGCCATGGTTCACCCGACATTGCGGGGGCTGTGCTGGCATGGTTCACCTGCTCACGGTTTTGAGCCGTATGTTCAAGGAGCCGCAGGACCAGCTTGGGGTAACAGCCGACGGGCATGTGCAAACGGGGTCCGCGCTGGCACCGGGTGAGATAACTGAGGATCCCCGCCTGGGAGTGGGCGCCAGGCCCCATGGGGTTCACGTGAGGAGGAGGAGGAGGAGGAGGAAGAAGAGGAGGAGCAGGAGGCGGCCTCGTGAGGCACTCTTGTTGGGCCTCCCTGGAGCCTCCTGAGGGCCTTTTGGCGGTCTCTTGGGGGCCTCCTGGGGCATCTTGGGGGCTGTTGGGACCTCTTGGGCCGTTTTAGAGGGCCTGCTGGCCTGCCTGACGCCTTCGGGGGGCCGTCTTTGGGGCTTTCCTGTGCCGTTTTGGTGCCCTCTTGAAGCGTCTTAGGGGCGTCTTGGGAACCTCTTGAGGGGCTCTTGGGCGATCTTGGGGTCATCTTCGGCCGACTCGGGGCCTTCTTGGGGGCCTCATGGGTTGTCCTGGAGCTATCTTGGAGGCCTCTTGGACCGCTTCAGCGGTCGGAAGCCCCAATAGGCGAGAACCTCAACATCTTTTAGCTAACAGCGAAGACTGATAGGTTTCTAGTGGTCTCAAAAGAGAGCATCATGACTCCCCAGGGGGGTCTGGGCAGATGCCGGACGGGTGCCGCGGGAATCCAGGGTGCCGCGGGAATCCGGGGACTCCTTTTTTAGCCAACAGTAACGCACTTCGTGGTCTTCGAGTTCCCAGAACTCCATTCCTGGGCATGATGTTGAATGCCCGGAGCCAACTGTAGGCCACTTCGTGTTCTTCGAATTCCCAGAACTCCATTCCTGGGCATGATTTTGAATGCCCGGAGCCAACTGTAGGCCACTTCGTGGTCTTCGAGTTCCCAGAACTCCATTCCTGGGCATGATTTTGAATGCCCAGAGCCAACTGTAGGCCACTTCGTGGTCTTCGAGTTCCCAGAACTCCATTCCTGGGCATGATTCTGAATGCCCGGAGCCAACTGTAGGCCACTTCGTGTTCTTCGAGTTCCCAGAACTCCATTCCTGGGATTGTTTAGCAACTGCGCGAATGGCCCAGAGCCAACTGTAGGCCACTTGTGGTCTTCGAGTTCCCAGAACTCCATTCTTGGGCATGATATTGAATGCCCGGAGCCAACTGTAGGCCACTTCGTGGTCTTCGAGTTCCCAGAACTCCATTCTTGGGCATGATTTTGAAAGCCCGCAGCCAACGGTAGGCCACTTCGTGTTCTTCGAGTTCCCAGAACTCCATTCCCGGGCCACATTTTGAATGCTGAGGCAGGCTGAGGCTGAGGCTGATTCACGCCCCAGGCCACATTTTGAAATGCTGAGGCAAGCTGATGCTGAGGGCTAGGCAGGCTGAGGCTGATGAAGGCTGAGGCTGAGGCCGAGGCTGAAGGCAGACTGAGGCTGAGGCTGAAGCAGGCTGAGGCTGAGGCTGAGGCAGGCTGAGGCTGAGGCTGAGGCAGGCTGATGCTGAGGCAGGCTGAGGCTGAGGCTGAGGCTGATGCAGGCTGAGGCTGAGGCAGGCTGAGGCTGAGGCTGAGGCTGAAGCAGGCTGAGGCTGAGGCTGAAGCAGGCTGAGGCTGAGGCAGGCTGAGGCTGAGGCAGGCTGAGGCTGAGGCAGGCTGAGGCTGAGGCTGTAGGCTGATGCAGGCTGAGGCTGAGGAGGCTGAGGCGAGGCCGAGGGCTGAAGGCAGATTGAGTGTGAGGCTGAGCAGGCTGAGGCAGAGGCAGAGGCAGGCTGAGGCTGAGGCTGAGGCAGGCTGAGGTGAGGCAGGCGGAGTGAGGCTGAGGCTGAAGCAGGCTGAGGCGAGGGTGAGGCAGGCTGAGGATGAGGCTGACGGCAGGAGGCTGAAGGCTGAGGCAGGCTGAGACTGAGCTGAGGCTGATGCAGCTGAGGCTGAGGCAGGCGGAGGCTGAGTGCGAGGGTTGCAAGAAGGCTGAGGCTGAGCGGAAGCAGCTGAGGCTGAGGCTGAGGCAGGCTGAGGCATGAGAGTGCGGCAGGATGAGGCTGAGGCAGCTGAGGCTGAGGCTGAGGCTGAGGCAGGGGGAGCTGAGGCTGGCTGAGGCTGAGGATGAGCTGAAGGCAGAGTGGAGGCTGGGGTGAGGCAGGCTGAAGCTGAGGCTGAGGCCGAGGCAGGCTGAGGCTGAGGCTGAGGCAAGCCGAGGATGAGGCAGGCTGAGGATTCACCTCCATCTGCAGGCAGACTGGAGCTGGAGGCTGAGGCAGGGGGCTGATGCGAGAACTTGAGGCAGGCTGAGGCAGGCTCGAGGCTGAAGGCATAGGCAGACAGGCTGAGACAGGCTGAGGCTGAGGCTGGAGCAGGCTGAGGCTGAGGCAGGCTGAGGCTGAGGCCGAGGCTGAAGGCAGACTGAGGCTGAGGCTGAAGCAGGCTGAGGCTGAGGCAGAGGCAGGCTGAGGCTGAGGCAGGCTGATGCTGAGGCAGGCTGAGGCTGAGGCTGAGGCTGATGCAGGCTGAGGCAGAGGCAGGCTGAGGCTGAGGCTGAGGCAGGCTGAGGCTGAGGCAGGCTGAGGCTGAGGCTGAGGCTGAGGTTGATGCAGGCTGAGGCTGAGGCAGACTGAGGCTGAGGCCGAGGCCGACGGCAGACTGAGGCTGAGGCTGAAGCAGGCTGAGGCTGAGGCAGAGGCAGGCTGAGGCTGAGGCTGAGGCAGGCTGATCTGAGGCAGGCTGAGGCTGAGGCTGAGGCTCATGCAGGCTGAGGCTGAGGCAGGCGGAGGCTGAGGCCGAGGCTGAAGGCAGACTGATGCTGAGCTGAAGCAGGCTGAGCTGAGGCTGAGCAGGCTGAGGCTGAGGGCTGAGGCAGGCTGATCTGAGGCAGGCTGAGGCTGAGGGTGAGGCTGAGCTGATTGCAGGCGGCTGAGGCTTGAGCAGGCTGATGGCGTACTGGAGAGGATGAATGGCAGGACTGAGGCTGAGGCTGAAAGCAGACTTGAGAGGATGAGGTTGGAGGCAGGCTGAGGCTTGAGGCAGCTGAGGCTGAGGAGAGCGCTGGGAGTGAGGATGAGGTGCGGCTGAAGGGTGAGGCGGCGGAGGAGGGGGGGGGGGGGATGAGCAGGCTGAGGCTGAGGCCGATGCTGAAGGCAGACTGAGGCTGAGGCTGAAGCAGGCTGAGGCTGAGGCTGAGGCAGGCTGAGGCTGAGGCTGAGGCAGGCTGATGCTGAGGCAGGCTGAGGCTGAGGCTGAGGTGATGCAGGCTGAGGCTGAGGCAGGCTGAGGCTGAGGCCGAGGCTGAAGGCAGACTGAGGCTGAGGCTGAAGCAGGCTGAGGCTGAGGCAGAGTCAGGCTGAGGCTGAGGCAGGCTGAGGCTGAGGCAGGCTGAGGCTGAGGCTGAGGCTGATGCAGGATGAGGCTGAGGCAGGCTGAGGCTGAGGCTGAGGCTGAAGGCAGACTGATGCTGAGGCTGAAGCAGGCTGAGGCTGAGGCTGAGGCAGGCTGAGGCTGAGGCAGGCTGAGGCTGAGTCTGAGGCAGGCTGAGGCTGAGGCTGTGACTGCGACTGCCGTTGCCACTGCGACTGTCATCGCGAATGCGACTACGACTGCGAGAACAGCAGAATTCTACAACTGGATTCTCATCTGAATCTTAAGGGGAATGCTTCCAGAAATGCTCCTACACATCGCTGTTAGGTTGCTTTGCCGGGATAATCAAACCAATGGAAAATCCATGGCGATTGCTTCCTAGGGCTCTCTTGGGGGCCCTCTTGGACCGTCTTAGGAGCCTCTTGAGCCGTCTTCTGAGGCCGTTTGCAGAGCCTCTTGAGCCGTCTTGGGCCAGCTGAAGCCGTTTTGGTATCGTCTTGATTGTTTGGGAAGCCGCCATGGAGGCCATACTGGCCGTTTGCAAGGGAATACCGCCGGAAAGCAAGTGCAGAGGGAGGGGGGGGATGTTTGGGGTGCGCGGGCCGAGCGGCAGGAGGAGGAGGAGGAGGAGGAGGAGGAGGAGGAGGAGGAGGAAAGAGGAGGGAGGAGGAGGAGGAGGAGGAGGAGGAGGAGGAGGAGGAGGAGGAGGAGGAGGGGAGGAGGAGGAGGAGGAGGAGGAGGAGGAGGAGGAGGAGGCGGAGGCGGAGGAGGATGAGGAGGGGGAGGAGCGAGAGGAGGAAGACGCGCAGCAGGACCAGGAGCGGGAAAGAGGGGGCAGCGGCAGGAGGTGCAGCAGAGGGAGGAACCAGGATGCCCGGTGGCCCATGGATGCCCGACCGTGCCGCTCTTGCCCGCCCCATTGGAGGCCGCGCCCTGCGGGGACTCGCCGCGTCCGCGGCACGCCAGCCACGGCGCTCGGGGCGCGCGTGCACGAGGAGAGGGCGCGCGGGACGCAGGACGCGGGACCAGCCTTTGGCCCCTTCGGCGCTGCTCATCTCCAACAGTCGGGGGAGCGTAAGACCCGGGTGTGCCAGGACTCGGGCTCGCCATCGTTTTTGGACGACCGCGATTCGGATCTTGACGAGGAGGAGTTTCGCGGGATGTCTGCAGCGGGAGGCCTCGTCAAAATGCAGGCTCGGCCTCGTCATTTTTTTTACGACCTCGTCGGGGATTTCCGAGTCCCCTGTATCCGGGTCTTACGCCCCCCTGAAACAGTGGCCTCGAGAGCCCCAGGGAGACGTGAGCGCGGCCCAGGAAGCCTCGGGCGGTGGGGGGGGGGCGATGCATGCAGAACTGCGCGACCAGGTGGGGAGGAGAGGGAGCCCTACCAGACGGCACTTGGCATTCTTCCACGCCTTAGCGTGCCAGGGGGCACGGCGACAGAAGACGACGGCGAGGATGCGAAGGGTGATGCGGAGGAGAGGATTTTTGCGGACGACAAGGACGACGTGCAGAAAGGAGGCAAGGGAGGAAGAGTGGAAGTAGCGGAACGACAGTGGGGACAAGCTCAGCGGCAGCTCAAGGAGCGGGAGGAGGATCGCATCGGCCGCAGCGCCCAGCGCAGAGATTTCGTGCCCAGCTAGCTGTTGCCAGCCGGTGGCTTGGGCAGAGCGGGGGCACCGCCAACCCCGCAGAGGACGGGGGGAGCAAGCTGTGGGAAACAACATACAACAAAACACAAAAAAACAGTCCGTGGGAAAACACACAAACACACACACACACACACACACACACACACACACAAACACACACACACACACACACTGTGGGAAACAAACACAAAAACACACTGTGTGGTTTTTTCCCACAGATTTGTTTTTTTGTTTTTTCTCACGGCTTCTTGGCAGTTCTCGATCTCCGCTGGCAGCGGCTGGCTCCACCTGGGCGCGGTTTCGCTTGCCCTCAGCAGGTATGCGCAAGCAAGGGGGACAGGAGGTCCGACCCGCCGTGGCCTCGCAGGACGGCCAGGAGCAGCAGGAGGAGCAGCAAGGGCAGCATCAGGAAGGAGGAGCAGGAGGAGGAGGAGGAGGAGGAGGAGGAGGAGGAGGAGGAGGAGGAGGAGGAGGAGGAGGAGGAGGGGAGAGGGAGGAGCGAGAGGAGGAGGGAGGAGGAGCAGCAGGAGGAGGTGGAAGGGTCGGAGAATGAGAAGGAGCGGCTTTTGTTCACCACGTGGCTCCCCAGAGGTCTCGGCCCTTTCCCGGGGACCGGCCTTTCATCCGGCGCCGTTTCTTGACGGCCCCAGGGCCCAGACAGGGCTCCCCTCTGGGGGCCGAGAGTTGCCACACATTGAAATCTTCCGTCGCGATTTTGTGTGTCACAGCGCGAGGGGCTGTGAATTTAGGATGGCACCTCGGGTGCCCGCGGCCTTCCAGGACGATCTGAGCATCCCCAGGATGCTCTCGGCGAGGCGAAGCTTCTTGAGAGTACCCCGAGGTTGGAACACCTCCACGAACGGACGAGAAGCCCCGACGACGCCGACGACGACGAAGACGACGACGACGACGACGCCGCCGCCGCCGCCGCCGCCGACGCCGACGCCCACGCCGCCGCCGCGAGGCTCTCTCGACCTGCGGTCCTGGCCGGGCTACGGCACGGACGCCTACCTCGTGCTGCCGCGGATCTCCTCCAAGCAGCTGGCCCCACCTCGGGGGGGAGGAGTCGAGCGTGATGGGCCTGCTTTCCACCACCACCACCACCACCGTAAGTTCGAGGGAGGAAGGAGGAGGAGGAGGAGGAGGAGGAGGAGGACCCCCTCCCCCTCCGACTTATGGTTGCGGCGGTGGAAGCAAGCCCACCAGGGCCTCCTGCAGAGGAGCAAGAAGTCATTGTAATGATACGTTGCAAGCTTCCCCTCGATGTCCGATCTGTCTTGCTGCTCCGCACGGGCTGGAGTCCTGGAGCGCATCCTGAGCCAGTCCTGTCATGGCGGCATCATCACCCAAGTTCCTTCTCGGCTTTCGGGCGAAGGGGGGGATCCGAGACTAGAGGCTCAAGGGTTCCAGGGGTCCGTAGGGGTGCAGATGACCCCCCCCCCTCCACCTCGGGCCCGCAGCCGAGGTGGAGGGCCAGGACAGGTGGCTGCACGACGACGATCGACCGCCGTGAGCGAGTGAGCGTCCAGGTGCCCGCTTCCTCCTCCGCCTCCGCCTCCGCCTCCGCCTCCGCCTCCGCCTCCGCCTCCTCCTCCTCCTCCTCCTCCTCCTCCTCCTCCTCCTCCTCCTCCTCCTCCTCCTCCTCCTCCTCCTCCTCTCCTCCCAGAGGGTCCGCGTGTCGAGGCATTCCGGCGTGCCTGCTGGCGCCCGGAGGCCGCGCCTTGCAGAGAGCGCTTTCCCAGGGGTGGAGGACGAGGAGGAGGCGGAGGAGGAGGATGAGGAGGAGGAGGAGGAGGAGGACGAGGACGAGGAGGAGGAGGAGGAGGAGGAGGAGGAGGAGGAGGAGGAGGGGGTGCACGGACCGTCCCGAGCGGCCACCTGAGCCCCCTTCGCGGCGAGAACGCGGCAGCACGGAGGGCTGTGCGCAGTCTCCTGCCTTCAAGGACCATACAGTCAACGCGCCTAGTAAGGACGCGCGCCTTCATCTAGGGTGCCCTTGTGTCCTTGCCTCTGAGGCCCGTCCTTGCCATTATCACTGGTCTCCCGCCGCCAAAAACCCAACTTCGGCCTCCAAGGGTCTTGCGTCCTTATCACCCGTCCTTCATATACGTTTTGACTGCATTCGGCGGCGAGCGAAGGGGGGAGGTGAGAGGGAGAAGGCCTTCTCAGAAGGCGGCGGGACTCCTCAGAAGCCCTCGCGCCTTCTGGGAAGTTGTTCCTGTCTTCGGGGGAGGCTCGGAAAACGTCTCAGAAGGCCAGGGGACTTCCGAGCCTTCTGAGAAGGCCCGCGCCTTCGCATTTCCCCCCCGGGCGCGCCGCCAAGCCACTGCCGGGGCCCAGGACCGTCAGAAGAAAGAAGCGCTGGGATGGAAGGCCAGTCCCCAGAAAAGGGAAACAGAACACTCGGGGCTCAAGAGACGAGGGTCAGCGCAGACGGGGGTCCGCAGCAGCCGCAGAGCGCAGGACCTTACGGTAAGTTTGCGTCGTGTCGACCATCGGCGACCCCAGCGCGGGTGTTCAAGGTTGAACGCCGCCGGCGACCCAGAATCGTTCGATGTGGAGCGATCGGACGTTGCGGCAGCGGCCGATCGTTCAAGGTTGAACGATCCCCGCGGTGTCAGAAACCAACGCCGGGGTCGACACGACGCGAACCTGCCGTACAGGATCCCGCAGAGCCAGGGTTGCATTGACCCGGGCTTGGGTGCATGGCCCTGCAGGATTTCGCAGGATCCTGCAAAGCTTGACTGCCCCGGCTCTGCGCTGACCTGGGCCAGTAGATTTTTAACTCGGGCGTGTCCCTCTACAGGAGGAGTGTTCAAGAATAGTAATAGTAAACAAATCGTCTGACGGTTTTTCGTGGTCTTTCGGGTCTGTTTGATTACTTGTTGACTATGTTCAAGTTTTTCCCACTGTCCACCTGTCGGATAATGATGTTCCAACCTACTTTTGGCCTTGATCGCCAGACAGAATATCGAGCACCAAGAAAGTACCGAAACTTGAAGGATTTCACGTGTTGGGCTCAGGGAGGCGATACTCGTTCGGCACTGTTTCGACATTTTTTCTGGGTGCTCGAAAGTCTGTCGAGGGTGTGGTCCTCAAGTATGATGGGAGTAACACAACTGTAGAAGGTCATGCCCAACCTGACGGTAGATCCTCGACACTCACCTCAACCGGGCGGGGCCGCGCCGCGCAACAAGGAGGCTTTGACGCCGGGGCCCGGCTGGCACATTATCCGGTCGGCAAGCCGCGGGCCCTCCCCGCCGCTGGCCGCGTTTTTTTCTTTCGATGCCTACGGACGTCTCCCGCCGCTGGGAGAGGCGCGGGGAGGGAGGGGGGAAGCGCAGCTCGGCATCGCTCGGACATGTGCATTTTTGCTTCGGCGAGGAGCATCGAGGAGCATCCTTGATGATTTGGCGAAAGAGCCACGCACGGCATCAAAAGAGCACAGGGAATGGACGTCCGAGCGATGGCGAGTCGATGCCTACGGACGTCTCCCGCCGCTGGGAGAGGCGCGGGGGTGGAGAAGGGGGGGGAAGCGCAGGGGACCAGCTCGGAACAGGCTCAGGGCGGGAGGCATGGGCCCCCTGTCGCCCGCGCATGGCAGCCAGGGCCCGGGTGCCCCCTCCCGCCCGGGCCGGCACGGCTCCGCCCTCGGAGGCCCCTCGCAGGATCCGTCGGCGATGTGCCGCCGCTGCCAGCGCGGCGGGTCCCTCCCCGAGCTGGTCCCCGCCTGCGCCGCCCTGGGTGTCTTGAGAAGCTCGGGGGGGTACCCCCCCGACGGGGGTTCCAAAGCTCGCCTCGTCGTCGCGCTGCGACGGGGGCCGGAGCGCCTTCGGCGCGCGGCGGCTGCCGCGCGCGGTGGCTGCCCCCCCCCCTTGGCCTGGGCGGGCGCCACCTCCAGCTCCGCGCGACGGCGGTCGTCCAAGCCCTCGAGGCCGCGCGCGCGGGCCCGTGGGGGAAGTGAGAAGGGGTGGGCCTTCTTCGAAGCCCCCTGGGCTTCTGACAAATGCTATCATCAGGAAGGGAAAAAGCACACAGACACAATTAATCGTCGATTCCCAGAAAATATGGGAAAATATGGGAAGTGGGGGGGAAGACAGGAACCCAGAACATATGGGAAAATCTATGGAATCTAGTAATTTGTGTCTATTTATTTGTGTGTCCCAGTTTCCCTTCATTTTAAGCCGTCTCCGAAGACGCAGGAAATCTTTCAGAATGCCGGAGGCCTTCTGAGAAGCTTCCTTCCCTTCCTTTTCTTTGTTTTCTTCTTTTTTTTTTTTTTTTTTTTTTTTTTTTTTTATTTTTTTTTTTTTTGTTTTTTTTTTTATTTTTTTTTTTTTTTTTTTTTTTCTTTTTTTTTGTTTCTTTTTTTTTTTTTTTTTTTTCTTTTTTTTTTTTTTTTTTTTGTTTTTTTTTTTTTTTTTTATTTTTTTTTTTTGTTTTTTTTTTTTTTTTTTTTTTTTTCTCTTTTTTCGTTTTCTTATTTTCTTTTTTTTTTTTTTTTTTTTTTCTTTTTTTTTTTTTTTTTTTTTTTTTTTTTTTTTTTTTTTTTTTTCTTTTTTTTTTTTTTTTTGTTTTACCTTTTTTTTTGTTTTTTGTTCTTTTCTGTTTTTTGTTATTTCTTTTTTTCTTTTTTTTTTTTATGACCAGGGCTTTCCTTCTCTCACTGCCCCCCCGCCCGCCTCCGAATGATTGTCTCTATCGAGGATGGTCGCCGTCGCCACCCCCATCGTATACACCCGAGGTTGGCAACAAAAAAGTCCAGCTGAAGCTCCTAAAAAAGCCAGGGACCTGCATCGCCATACCCCCGTTAGAAGATCGGCAGGACCCATGAAGACGACAGAACCCATCATCATCCATCCGAGCAGGACGGGCAGGAAGAGCGGGCGGCGCGTAAGGGATTGCAAGCCTCATCGCAAGTTGGTTGCAGTCGGCCGTCGAGAGTTGACCCGGCCTTTACAGCGCGACAGCGCGTGCAGCAAACATGTTTGTAGAATCCCCTCGCCACCATCGCCTCCATCATCACCATCACCACCACCATCATCATCGTCATCATCAGCATCATCATACTTATCATCATCATCATCATCATCATCATCATCATCATCATCATCATCATCATCATCATCATCATCACCATCACCATCACCATCACCATCACCATCACCATCATCATCACACTCACACTCACCATCACCACCATTATCATACTATTTTCAATACTTATAATTTAGGCGGATCCAAGACCTTATATGGAGCTTATTCTATTGTCGCCGTGGATGTGCTCCCAGAAAATACAGACCAAAATGTTTTCATGATAATAGGAATAGATATCGTATTCATAATTCATCAGATATAAATGCATAATAATGGGGAAAATAATTCAATTTAGTAATGCCATAAACATAATTAAAACGACTTTATTAATCATAATAAAATATTATTGAATAATAAATATGCATTTAATTAAATAATAAATATTATTGAATATTCAGAATAAAGATAATAATCATATTAATGTAAATACAATAATAATATTCAATAAAAAGAACAATTTAAATTGAATGACTTAACTATATTAATGTATATTAATGTATTTATATGCGAAAAATCAATTGTATAATAGTATATGCTTATTATGATATGTATCATTTCGGTCTGTATTTCCTGGGAGCTTATCCATGTCGCAAATTTGGTGAACCCCACATGAGGTCAAGGCCGCTTCGGGCTTGTTTTCATGGTTTCTTCAACAGGCGCGGAGGGAAGAGGTAGGAGGGAGCTTGTGACCAGATTCTCGGGGGCAGGGAGAGAGGGGCAGAGGGCATATGGGCAGGAGGGATGTGCAGGGAGGATTAGGAAGAGGGATAGGGGGAGGGGCAGGAAGTACTGGGGCAGGGGGAGCAGGGAGGAGAGGAGGACGAGGAAGTGTGCCCAAGAATCCCGCCGATTCTTGGGCACAAGGCTTTGTTTTCTAAAGGGGCGGAGGGGGCGCTTTCTCTTCAGGCGGGGAGGAGGGTGGGCGGAGTAGGTTGTCAGATATGCCGCGAACGCACCTAACCCGGCAACGAGGTTAGCTTGACTCCTCCCTCTTTCCCTCCTCTCTCCTCTCTCTTTTCCCCCTCCTCAGTCCTCCCCCCTTTCCTGTTCCCTCCTTTCCCCTCCTCCGCCGCCTCCATACCCTCGGTGGAGGAGGGCGATGACGATGACGGCGAGGATGATGAGGAGGAAAGGGAGGATGATTACCAAGGCGAAAGATAAGAGTGAGGTGGTGGATCCGTCGTCGGCGGCGGCGGCGACGGCGTCTTCGTTTCGGAGGTTTTCGGCCGTCTCTGGAGGAAAACCTCGCCGCCGCCGCGGCCGGGCGCGGTTTGGAGGGCAGGCCAGGATGGGGCCTGGGAGAGGCATGGGGATCAGGTCGTCGTCGTCGCCGCCGCCGCTACCGTCGTCGTCGTCGTCGTCGTCGTCGCCGTCGCCGTCGCCGTCGCCGTCGCCGTCGCCGTCGCCTTCCCCGCCGTCGTCGTCGTCGTCGTCGTCGTCGTCGTCGTCGTCGTCGTCGTCGTCGTCGTCACCGTCGTCGTCGTCGCCGCCGTCGCCGTCGCCGTCGCCATCGCCGTCGCCGTCGCCGTCGCCGTCGCCGTCGCCGTCGTTGTGGTCGCACTCGTTTGCCAATCGCTCCCGCGCCATTCCTAGCCATGCTGGCTCTCATCGACCAAGTCCCCAGGGCGTGTGAGTCGGCGGCGCCCAGTGCCGGGCAAGGGGAGGGGGGCAATCCATGGGTGGATGTGGCCGCCGTGGCATCGGCGGCGGTCCCCCTGGAGCAGCGCCGTGAGCGCGCCACAGCCAAGGCGCGCTACGAGAAGCTCAAGAGGAGGGGCCTGGGACGGGCAGGGGGAGCGCGAGGGGTGATTAGCCGAGGGGAAGGGTCAAGAGAGAAAAACAATGGGAGGGGAGGGTCAAGAAGAAGCTGCGCCCGTACGTCCAGAAGCAGGTTGACCGCCACAACCTGCTGGCTGCGCGGGCCAAGGAGGTCATCGACGTCGACGCCAGGCGCAGGACACGGGGCAGCTGGGGTACTTCGGAGAAGAATGACGAGCGGAAGCAGGAGAGGATGAGTCCGGGATGAGAGTAAACGAGCGTGCAGGGTCAGGGGCATGGGATGAGGAGTAGGAGTAGGATGTCGGGTAAGGGGAAGGCGCCGCGGGCAAGGGACGGTATGATGACGAGAAAGGAGGAGTAGGAGTGAGTAGGGAGGACGGGTAGGAGGAGGAGGAGGAGGAGGAGGAGGAGGAGGAGGAGGAGGAGGACGGGTAGGAGGATGGGTAGGAGGAGGGGTAGGAGTAGGAGGTGTAGGAGTAGGATGACTAGTAAGGAGGAGTAGGAGTAGGAGTAGGATGACGGGTAGGGAAGTAGGATGACGGGTAAGGAGGAGCAGTAGGATGACGGGCATTCATCCGAAGTAAGTGTCCCGTCGCACTCCCCCCCCTCGCCCCCCTCCGCCATCTCGTCTTCCGCGCCCGCGGCCCCGCCCATGCCTGCGCCTCTGCTCGACGCCCTCGCCCGCCCCGATCGGCGCGGGCGGAAGCGGAGGCCCGTGGTCAAGGGCAAGGGCGCCCACAAGCGGTTGAAGCCGGGCGCCGTGGCGCGGTGTTGCTTCGGTATGCGAGTGCTGGAGGCGGGGCGGGGTTGGGCTGAACTCTCGGCTCCTCGGTATCTCCATATTGTCTTCCCCCATCCCTCCTCGTGCTCTATCGACGCCTCCCTCCTGTTCGCCTGGAGCGCCCGGTCTCTCGATCCAGGGCTGGAGTTCTCGACGCTCTGGTCTCGTGCCCAGCCCGAGTCACAGTGCATCGCCTACTCTTGTCTCAAACCATCAGGGCTCTTGTTCGCGCGCCCCGCTTTCAAGTATTCGCGTTCTAGCGCGTCGTGGCCGCTGCGATGTCAATTGCCGCGGCTGTGCTTGTGCTATCCTTGCTTCTGTGTTTCAGGCTGTTGGAGATGTGGCCCTGATCCTACTGATCCACGTTGCTTCCATTTAGGATTAAATTAGATCCATGCTCCTGCTACTCTCGTCTTACTCCTTCTCGCATTCGTGCTTAATGTACTCCCGCTGCCGCCCTGGCTACTCCTGCTCCTGCCCTAGCTGCGAGCCCCCGCCCCCATCCACCTTACCTCGGGCTCGTCGGAAGGGAGGATGCGCCCGCTGAGGGCCCCCATGTCCGACGCCGACGCGGTGGGCGGGAGGGGCGGGCCAGGGCGCAGGGTCAGCGCGGAAGAGTCAGCGCGGAAGTTAGCAGCAATGGGCCAGGGGAGGGAGTGAGGGGGGAAAGAATGCCAGGCGCAAGGCGTGGAAGAGCAGGATGGCGCCCTTCTCTTCGCCAGTCGCTCGCCCGGCGCACATCCCCCATCGCGCTCGCGAGCGGGCGTGGAGGCGCGCGGCCGCTGGACGGCCCGGCGCCGACGGCGGCGTCTAGCCGCTTCTGCGCATCCGTGTTCGGGGCCAACCACTCGCACATCCAGAATTGCAGACACGCAGTGGCTGAGGCGCCAGGGGTTTGGGCGCGCGCGCAATTGCAGCGAGAGCCGCAGGTCATCAGGAGTCACGAGGGTCAAGCAAGCAGAGATAGCATTGGGAGACCGCGTGCGACCGATCTGGGTCGTTCGTCGATCAGGAGCTGCGGCGTCGGTCGGTCGGGCTCGCAGTTGCCAGGACAGGTCGATCCAGATTTGATCGGACATTGGACGAGGCGGATCTTTCTGGCGATCAGGATTGACCGCGCCGATCGGCGCGCTGCAACTCGGGGTGCGCTTGGCCACGCCTTGCTGACGGGCCGCGTGTGACCTCGCGGATCACCGCGCCTGGTTGCCCCCCCTGGCTGCTGAGCGAGAGGGGAGGCACTCCTGCGCGTCGTGCGTGATCAGGCTCGTCGGGTACCAGTGGTAGCTCATTCTATCATGCAGGTGGCATTTGACCAGACTGAAATGGCGATCAGGATCCACAACGACGCCAAGACCCGCAGCATCATGATGCGGGGAAGGGGGGTGGGGGGCGACATCATGGGCCTCCTCCCTCTTCTTTCGTCGCCGCTCTCGTCGTGCCCAATTGTCTCGTCGCCTTGCTCCGGGCGCTCGCCGTCGCCGATGCAGGTGGCCGAGGCGGGGCCCCAGTCTAGGGGCCGCATTGTCTCGGCGCGCTCTGAGCGCGCGCAGGTCTACCTCGAAGACGACGACGACGATGACTACGACGATCACGACGACGACGACGACGAAGATGGCCGAGCGGCGACCGATGACCGACAACCGACGGCCAATGACCGACGAGCGACGACCTACGACCGACGATGGGCGACTGACGACCGACGACGACGACGGCGACGCCAACGATGGGGGCCCAGAGGAGAAGAGAGATGCGACGCCGCTGCCGCCGCCGAGTGGGGCGCAGAGGAGATCGAAGGATGGAGTGAGGAGGGGGGGTAGGACAGGCGCAGGGCCCAGGCGAGGACATGTTGAAATGTGCAACCGCTGCGCTGACTGCACATTTGAATTTGGCGAGTGCGGGCATGGGAGGATGCACATCCGCTTCAGAGTTAGATATGTGGACGAGAAGTATGAGCAATGGGAAGTTCCCGCGGCACCTGCAGCCCTCATGGACACAAGGGCATCCACTATCTTTTCTGCGCTGCGTTCGCGCATCCAGGGCGTGGAGCCGGCGGCCACTCGCCGCGCCCACGTGCTGAACTCAGACAGAGCAAAGGCATGCTTGCGGACCGCTGCCGCTAGGGCCCACGCGTCGATCAGCTCTGGGGAGCCACCAGTTTTACATGGTGCGTGCATGATGCACATGATGTTCGCATCGTTCGTCGCTTCGATAGAACACTTCAAATGCATACCTGCTATTTTCTGCGGTACACTGCTGATGAGGAAGGCCCATAATGTTGCCAAGCTGAAGGCGAGCGCTAAGACAGTGATCGAGAGCAGGATTAAAAGGGTGTTTGTACACGACGGCTCCGTCAGCAGTTACAACAGCACCCTGGTGCACCTACTCCACGCAGCTGATCGGCACTTGTATGAGCGGGGAGGGGGGGGATGAAGCACGGGCTTGGCGGGCGCAAGAGTCTGCATTGGATCAGGCAGCGGTTGCCACGACGGAAGTGCTATAATGTTTTTGCATCACGCAAAGTATGTTGCGCGGGCTCGCCGCGTTTGTGTCAGCGTGTTACTCGCATTGTTCAGTCGCCGCAGCTTAGGGTAGTTCGGTTGCCTTTGATGCGCGCCCTCCTGCTGCACATGCCCCTCCTCCGTCATATGCGCCTCAGCTTGTCCCGTCACTCCTCCTCCTCATCATTTCCTCCTTATCTTCCTCCCTCCCTCCTCAAATATGCCTCCTCCCGATCCTCCGGCCCTGCGGGGATCTTGGCTGGCCCAGGGGAAAGTGCCCTCAGTTTTAAGCCTCAACTTTGGTTTGAACTTTGTGGTGTGCGCGCGTGTGCGCACCAAGGCGGCGTCTTATCTTATCTTATCTTCCTTGCTCCTCCCATGCCCAACTTCCTGCGCCCGCCAGCCTGCCAGCCCCCGCGGAGCGGGCGCCTCGAGTGAGAGGGCGGCAGGGCGCCCCTGGATGGAGACGAGGACCACGCCGCTGAGGCGCAGGCCATCACATCAAAGCGATATCATGCGAGGCAGCGCCTACTCGTTGCTTGCCCTTTCAATTGGTCGGAGAGGGGCGCCAAGCTTGAGCACTGGTGCAGCCACGAGGTCGGGTGCGGGTGCAGGTCAAACGCTGATGCAGCTGCTTTCGTATTAGGTTTGCTTTCAGACGCGTGCCTCGACGCGTCGCCCGAGATTCCAGCAACAAACAAATGGAACAAAGTGTTTCCTCCAATTTCATGGTGGTGCTTCCTGTGCAGCTTCGGGGGGGGGGTACTCCAGGAGTCGATGCAGGGCGTCAAGGTATCTCGTATTGACAGTGCGGGTGACGTGAACTCTTTGTCCCTGATCGACGTTGCAGGCCCAGAGTCCGATGATCTATATCGTGCTTTGAACGCCATCCGGTGGGGCAAAATCGCCAAATATATTGCTGCACAGTGCACTCAAGAGAATCTTGGGATCGCAGCCAGCATCTGCAGACTCGCGACGCCATTTTTGAAGCAGACTTTCCAGGAGGCTGCACAGCATAGGGAGTCTAACATTCTCACGTACATTTGGGCGCCCACGAACCCCGCCTGCAACCTCGTCCAAAGCATGGGCCGTCGCTGCGTGTCTGACCCCGAGGGCTCCTTGGAGGTTCGCTTTCTGGCGGGGTGGTTAGCGCACATGTCGGATCGAGCGCGGCATCACGTGGCCAGCACGATGTATGCTTTCATGGCGTCCCTGATGTATCGGTGTGTATTTTGTTGGGAGGAATGGCCGTATGCTTTGGGGCTCCTGGTCCTGGACCATGTGCCTGACGCCAGGAAACAAGAAATTGTTGATGCCTTTCGTCGTTGTGAAAAATGTTGTTGCACTGTCGTTGACGGTTTCACTATGCCGCTCAAGTCCCAGTTGGCCAATCCGGGCGATGTCTTGAATCGCCGAAACATTCTCTACATCCAGGATGCATTCGAGTGCTGCGACTGCACGAATGTGCTCATTGAGGACCGCTTTGGCCGCGGTCGAAGGCAGAGCGCTTCCAATTCTGGAAATTACCAGGCGTTATCCACCGTTTGCAGCAACCATGCGATTGGAGAGCTCAAGGCGTTGCACAACGTGGCCTCGATACATTTCCAGGAGACCCATATGGAGCCGGTCTGATAGGGGCGGGTAGGCTCTGTAGTTCATGCCACAGACGTTGTCGGCCAGGCTTTGCAAGAGGGGGGCGTGGCACTTTGAAGCACGATCCATTGAGTGAGATCTGATGGCATAGCATCGCGATGACTGCGCGGAGCGGCGCAGGTCGTCGTCCAGAGCGAAGCTTCCTCATCGCGCCGACCGACTACAGTGGAGCTGCGATGGAAGAATTTTGCGAGGCGCGTCTTTCATTATTGTATGATTATGTTTGCATTGCATGTGCTCTCCTTTCGCTCTCTGCTCTCTTCGGCCCCCCCCCCCCTCGCCCTGATGGAGAGTAGGCGTCGCTGGCGGTGGCGCGGAGGTAATGGATCGCCCTCGGGAATTCCGTTCGCCTTATTGGGGTCCATCCTAGGGCGTTCTTGGATCTGGGAGTGGGATGCCCAGGAGGCTCCATGAGGGGCCCAAGAAAGAGGGCGCCCAGGAGAGTAAGACAATGACGATGACCCCGCGTGAGAAATATGCGGGCAATCTTTCGAGCCTTCTCGGGGCTCCCCTGAGGCTCCACAAGAACTTCGAAGGCGCTCCAGGGGCCTCCTGAAAGTCCGAAACACCTGGGGCTGTTAGATGACCTTAATAGGGTTAGAAAAAGGTAGCGCAGGCGGCTCCCTGGTGCATGGTGCATGCGGTATGCGCGCGTGTGCGTGCGCGCGCTCGCCTGCGTGATTGCGCGCGCTGGTGAGCCCGCGCTCCCATAGGGCCTGCCCCGGCCTTGACAGGCAGAAGCGGTCCCAGTACACTATTCCAGAACTGGGTCTTCAGTGGTCGGGCATGACAGAACACGAGCGCGACGCATGGGCCGTCACAGATACGAGGCAGGCTCGCCCAGTCATGACGAGGCCCCAGCAGATGCCAGAGGAGGCCACGCCGTTCAAGATAGGAACGGACCGGTTGCCAGTTTCTTTGGATTTTCTTGCTGCGAATGTCTGCGATCAAGTAAGAGCATTGAGCGACGCATGGAAGGACGACAATGAACGTTTGGTGGTCTCAGGCCCTGGGATGGATGAGATCAATCAGGATGCGAAGTCTTGCTGTCGCTTGCTTGGACTAGGGAGATGCCAGGGGGATTTGCAGGGCTGGCAGTCAGAGTGTCGTAAGCGGCATCAGTGGCAGCAGACCAAGTTAGTTTATTATGAGGCGCCCAACTTTCACTTGGACTTTGAACCGTCGATCCTGTTGCCTCTCTTCCGATTTCGACCCGAAGGCGATGGGGACCCATTAGTTGTCCTCAGGGCTTCCAGGCTCAAGAGTCCCGTGATTGGTTTATACTTGAAGTGCGACGTAGTCGGGGATGGGCCCGTTGTCCCTGGATGCATAATCAAGCCGCAACTTGTGAGAGGACGTGAGGGCTTTTGGAAGCCGGCCGATTTGACCTGGCACATGATTAATGCAGCCCCGTCCTTCCGGGTGGACAATGTATCCTATAAGTTCAAGTCTTTGCACGAGTTGGAAGTCATAAGTATAAGTGATATTACAGACGAGTTGCACCTCATCAAAGCCAGAGAACGAAGCGATCCAACTGTGGTCGGCGTCACGAGCGTCGTCAAGGCCATGTTCCAGGAGGGCCCCCCCCCAGAAAAGAAGCAGAAGAAGAGGAAGGTCGCGCCGAGCGATGTCCCCGACCACCCTGGAGGAGGCATTGCGGGGAGCGGGCCTGGAGGCGCAGACGCCGCGCCTGGCGGCGACGACGCGGGCGGAGGGGGTGAGGAGGAGGACCCCCATGAGTCCGATGAGGAACGGTCCGAGGACGACGGCGACGGCGTCCCCCCAGGGCCTCCACCGCCTCCTCCGCCGCTACCTCTGCCGCCGCCGCCTGAGCCGCCGCCCCCGGCGCCTTTTGTCGAAGAGGGCGACGAGGGGTCCGCCATGGACCAGGATGAGTGGAGGGAGATCAGCGGGGACTCTGCTCGCATGTGGTTTGACGATGCAACTAAGCAAGTAATGGACACCGTAACGAAGTTGCCTGTCGGCAGTCTGTCCATCATGAGAAAAAATGAGCCTGGCGAGGCGCTCTCAGTGTACTGTCGCATCCATGGGTGCAAGTGCCCACCTGCGCCAGTGGCAAGGGCGCCTACGACCGATGCCGTGCTGGCTTGGTTTCTGGCAGGGCTGGAGCTGCCGAAGGGGGCACCAGGTAGGGCGGCGCACACAGCGATGTATAGGGACCTGCTGAATAGCCTTAAGAAGTAAGGGAAACATCGCGGTGGAGTCTGCATGCGCATGTGACATGTAAGGCGTGCATGGTGACGATGGCGATGACAGTGACGACGACGATCGTGAATCATGAATCATGAATCATGAATCATATTGACTAATGAAGATGTGTATTCGATACCTCCTGATATTAGGGCGTGCGGAGGTTGCTGAAATTGAGCGAAACTCGGCGAAACCATGGGCGGACGACCCTGAAGGGCATTCCATGGGCGGAAGCTGGCTGAAGCAGGACAACAACGAATCATGATAAACGATGCCGACGGTTGATGACGATGATGCTGATCATGATGTTCATGAGTTCATGAGTCATGTTGCTGATGCTTGCCGACAGTGATGATGCGATTATGTCCACGACGACGATGATGATGAGGAGAAGGATGAGCTGTTCGTGGCATGAGCTTGTAGTGGTAGGGAGCGGCTGATCGAAGCATCCATATTCCCCCGCCCGCCGACTGAGGATGATTTCATGGGTTCTTGTCGATGTCACCGTTGCCGTCGTCACCTCCTGCTCCATTTCCCTCCCCCTTTCTGCCCCCGCCTCTTTGCCACTTGCCCATCCTTTTCCCTCGCCTGACCCCAGGATGCATTTGGTCCTTGGTCATGGCCAGGCTTGAGCATGCCCTCTTCGTAAGCATCTTTCGCGCGGACTCACCGCGCGCCGTTTCCCGAGGGCCCGGGCGTAGTGATACGGAGACAGGGAGGTCGTTGCGAATTGGCGATCGTTTCTGCACATGGCTTAGGCTTTCGAGTTCCCCTGGCCACCCGGAGCCGAGCGAGTTGAGCATGTGCGGCACGTTCTCGCAGGCCTTCGGGCCCGAGTCCCGAGTCGGTCGAGGGTCGTTCTTGTGTGGCATCAGCGGACGTTGCCGTTGCCGACCGCCCTCTCTGGCGTCGGCGCGAAGACCTACTCGGGCATAAGTGCCCCTGGCCTCCCTAGAGCATTGCAACCGCATCCGATGAGCAGGTGGACACTGCGAGATCATTTGGCCCATGCCCACGCGTTATTCACAACGCCTCCTCTTGCTTGACTGCTACGGCCTCGGTGGCCTTGGAAGCGTTCGGCGTCTTCTCGGGCGTCCTCTGCCTTCCTTCCCCTTGTCACCAGTCGGCCAGGGCCAAGTCTGGCAGGTGGGCGGCATGCGAATGTTTGGATCGAGGGGTGCGTCCCCACCTCGCCGCGGGCAGCCCCGCGCCGTTCGAGGGCCAAGAGGCGAGCCGCACCTGTGCGCCAGGTGCCCCGCCCCCCCGCTCGCGGCGTCAGCCACGCGCGCGCCGCCTCTTGAGTTGTCCCCCATCGGCCTCGGCCTTGCCTGTCCAAGAGTGTCTCCCCATCGGCCTCAGTCTTGCCCCCCATCGGCCTCTTGAGTTGTCCCCCATCGGCCTCGGCCTCAGCCCTCGCGGGTAGCACGCGGGAGTACTGAGTACAAGATGGCGTTGCGCGCTGAGGAGCCGCCTCCATATTGACATAAGTGTGCATGCTGTGGCATGGCAAGATAGGCGCATCATAACAGGAGGTTAAATGCCCCTTTGCACGCGCATCGTGTTACATGGTTCATACATTATTTGGATGTATGCATACACACATATGTGTTTATATGTACATAATTTTACATATATTCATATTTACGTGCGTTAATTATTAATATAATGAGTCGTCATCATGATTTAAGTTTTTTATTTTGTTTCAGCGTCTTGCAGCAGCGGCGATCCCTGCTAATAAATGCGCGTACCTCCTTAAATGAGTCAGATCCCTGCTATTAAATGGTTCGTACACACTAAATTGGGTGATAAATGCAATGACGATGTTAGAACATTAATTCAAAAACATCAAAAACATAAAATAATAAATCAATAAATTAATTCATATCGTTCATGGTTTAATTACAAATAATGCATCACACATGTGCAATACGTTGTATTCGTATGTAATATACGGCTCGAGGGCGCCTCCCCGCGTGCGCTAAGTACCCCCCCCCCCCCCGGAGACACTGTTCTCTCCCGGGGGCAGTTTTCGAGGCTGGGCAACTACTTGCGATGACTCGTCCAAGCGACGCCGCGGACGAGCTCGAGATGTTAGGCGACCTTGGCGGAGATGATGACGCGCAGAGCGCTGTAGAATCGGATCTGGCGAGCTTGACTGTCATAGACGAGGCGGGGCAGAGGGGGTTGGGCAGCGAAGGGGGGCTCAATGGGCTCTCATCTCGCGGGCGGCCCCCTTCCGCCTTCCGCCGCAATGGCCCCCGCTCTCCACCCCCTTCCCTCCTTCTCCTTCTCCCTCCCTCACCTCCGCTGTATCCCTTCCCACTATCTGCCCCGAGCTCCGCGCATGCCGCCAGCCAGGGCGGCGCGAGGCAGGCAAAGGCGGTAAGTCGAGGTCGCGTTCCCCCCCCCGCCGCAGAGGCGTACATCTCGGACCTGATGATCATCTGCGTCAAAACATGCTCCTCTTGCAAGTGCATGTCCAACTCGCTCAACCCGTTTACGAAGGGGCCGTTTCAACGCTCCAAGAAGTACCCGTGCCGGCGGGGGGCGGGGCGGGGAGGGCGGTGGCAGAGGGCAATTGGGGTCGTGAGATGAAGCAAGAAGTCTTTGGGGGCCTGGAGGAGTGCAGGGCCTGGGGGCCCCTGGATCATTGGGGTCTGGGCCTGGGCTCCCCCTGCCGCCCCCTTCCTCAGGGTGTGCCACACCCTTGCCGGCGCCCTTCTTGCGAGTGTTGGCGGTGGGAGGCCCTGGGCCTCTGGCTCGCGTGAGAGGCCTCGCGGCCTCCGCTGCAAGGCGCGCGCCCTCGCATTTGCATTTGGCGGCTTTGCGGAGGAGCTCCCGCCAGCATCAACGGATATTAGGGGCCAGTGGAGGCGGCTAGGGAGCGGGGCAGGCAGAGGACTCGGAGGATGGGGAAGGGGAGTCCGAGGAGAAGCATAGGGGAAGGCATAGGGGATCGGGGACGAGTAGGACGTGAGGGATCCGGGATCAGTGTGGAGCCTCCGCTGTCCGAGAGGAGTTCAAGTCGCTTAATGACATGGTGGACTCGATGTCCACGAAGCCCAAGGAGCACCCGACGCTCGTTTCGGAGTTCGTCGAGTCGACGGTCACCATCATTTCGCTGGTCAATAGTGGCGAGTTGAACATGAGGGTCGGCAAGAGGGTGAGGATGACCGTCGAGTCGATTATCCAGAGCAGGAGGAAGCAGGTCATCAAACTTTATGAACAGGAGGGCATCCTCGCTAAAATGAAATTCAAAGCCGTACCGCTTCAGAAGTACTTGAAGGACAACCCCGAGGCCGACGTGAAGGAAGACGGGCTCATCATCAGGCAGTGCAAGCTGCCCGGCTTTACCTCATTGGTGGAGTGCGTATTGCTGAGGAAAGGTGACGAAGGTGGGCTGGGGGAACTTGTCGTCGGCAGTCGTTTCGACGGGCCGCGCAATTAAGAGTTTCGAGGGTTGGGTAGGGGGCGTGCTCGGGTATAAACGCATTGTTTGTTTATTTCAGGGCAGGTTATGGTTGAGTTTGGCAGCGCATGTAGGTTTTCAGATTCTCGGATACGATTGATTGAAACCGCGCGGCTCTTGACTCGTCTTGCCTTGGAGGTGTCTTTGACTTGGAGCTGACCTCTGCCCAGCTCATGTCGAAGGAAGAGACCCTCGACGACGGGTCGGCGCTGATCCGCCAAGACCAGATCGACAAGCGCTTCAGGAACCTCGGCGAGAAGGTCATGCAGCCGTTGATGAAGGCTGCAGAGAAGGCCACGCAGTACAAGCCAGCTCGGGAAGCCATAGCGCCCCCCCCTCCTCCTGAGCCCGCTGCTGGGGATGCAGCCGCGGGGGAGGATGCTGGGATGGAAGTCGTGGAGTCCAGCGACGGCGACGACGGGGAGGAGCCAGACGTCCTGTCCGGGTCGCTGCTGGGGAACTTGTTCGGCGACTCGTCCTCCTCCAGGGCGGCGGCCAAGTCGAAGAGCACGGGAGCGGCTTCCTCGTCGGGACCGCATCCTTCCTCTGGCCGCGCCGCTGTGCGGCCAGCAGGCCCGACGCCATCGAAGACGCCACCGAGCGTGCAACAAAGGGGCACCAAGCGCGTTGCAGAGACTCCGACTCCAGAGTCAGGGAAGAAAGCCTCCCTTGAGGATTCCGAGGGCGAGGCCGGGAGGAGGCCGCGCGGCCGACCCCCGAAAGCTATCAACCCAGAAGAGTTGCTGCAAGAGGAGGGCCACTACGAGAACATGGAAAAGTTCGACACTCATGTCAGCGCTATTATGGACATCTGCGGCGGGAGCCAGGTCATGTTCGCGGTGCCCGACGAGATGGCGAAATGCATCACCAAGGCCAAAGCTGTCGTCAACAACCTTGACAAATGCGCCAATCATGCGAACGCCATCGAGAAGAAGCACGGAAAGAAGCACAGTGCCCCAGAAGAGATGAAGGAACTCTTGGCTTCATCAAAGAGAAAGACAAGGAACATGACAAACTTCATTCAGGAGTTCACGAAAAAGAAGAGAGACTTCGAGAAGCTTCGCGAGTTGCTGTCGGAGTTGAACACGGACAAAGTGTCGGTCCCTCCTTTGTTCAAGGTCGTCGTGTTCGTCAATTGTGTCTGCAATTTCGGGGTCTTCAAGCAGTTCGATCAGCTTCGAGAGGTCATGGGCTCTTTCACTCTTGATGGCGATGACTTCCTTCTGCATAGGAAGCCAGCGGAAAGGGGTGAGATTATCTCGATGGTTATCGAGACGACCATGCCACGGATTTTCCAAGCGCTGCCTTCTGCCGCATCTTTTGAGCAGGGCCTCGATGTGCTAAATACAATTCATGGGTACCTCGAGGTGGTGAGGAAACTCGAACCACTCAACGTAGAGTTGGAAGAGCACCTGAAGTACTTGGCTGACGCTACGGGGCAAGGAGCGGATCCTGATGACCTCGCGATGAGCGATGCGATCGACGCGCTAGACGCCGTAGCTGCGGACGACGACTCAGAGAGCGCACTGAAGGCCAGCTTAGTCCTGAAGCAGTGGACGTCCTTGAAGGAACACATGGAGACGATCAAAGAGGCGAGAAGGAAGGCAGTTGGACCAGTGCAGCTCCTCCCGAAGGTGGTCTCGATGGCCCGCGACTTCATGCAGAGTCCGCCGGTGCGCAGGAATCCCGACGTCTTCGGTCAGAAAATCACGTCCGCCCTCGCGCGTGCCCTGGACCGCTTGGCCCAGGACGACTTCAACTCCGAGGCTTCGAAGGCTCTCGCGATGTTCGCCCGCAAGTGCACGGAGATCATCAATGACGTGACGAAGAGCATTGCCGCGGACTGGGCCGCGAAGAAGCTGGATATCTTCATCTCTGCGAAGGACAAGGCTGGCGGCGAGGACTGGCGCAACGAAGTGACGGCCCTCGACAAGCTGATGAGGCCGCTGTACCTGGGCTTCGTCAAATTCGAGGGTCTAGGCCTCCTCCGCCCCGTCCACCTTCAGAAGCTGTCGAAGAAAGCCGCAGAGGAGGTCAATGAATGTAAGAAGGTCGTCATTGGGAGGATGAGGCTTATTACAACGATGGTCGAGATCTGCAACACGGACTTCGATGTCATGGAAGCGCTCCACAAGATGGAGGACGCCGACCCTGACCTCGCGCCTCTGCTCATCGAGAAGTTTCACGCTGCAGAGCTCGCGATGCGGAACCTGCCAGAGCCCGCAGAGATCCCAGAGGAGTTCGTCAAGAAGCAGAAAGCGTTCGAACTTGCTTTCGGTCCCCGGCGCATTGCGATGACCCAGCTGGATGACCTGGGCGAGAAGCTCGGAGAAGCGTTCAAGACCATGCTGAATGTCGGGCCCGAGGAGGATGACCACGACGTGAAGACGGCATCCAACACCGCCAACGGTCTCCACAACAAGATTGTGAAGCTCATGAGGTTTCGGGGTTGGGAAAGCCCGACTACGGTGCATTTGGTCCTCGCGATGTCTTCGATTGAGCGCTCGTCGCGATTCGAGCGGAGATGTCATTGGGGGGGAGGGCGGCGGCAGGGAGGAGGATGATGATGATGATGAGGAGGAGGATGCGTTAGAATGTGCGCGACTGGGGAGCACAGCAGAATTTGTAAGACCTCTTCTGTTAAAGTGTGTTTGGCTCAGCTAAATCCTCCTCTGGATTTGCAGGAGGAGGCCGACGGGGAGGAGGAGGAGGAGGATGAGGAGGAGGAGGGGGTGGTCGGGCGGGTCGCTGGGCGGAGGTGGATGATTGGGTGAATGAGGATAGGGAGGAAATGAATCGCGTTGCCTGATAGGTGGTCGCACGACATTCCCAAGTGGGAGAGAACCATGGAGCTCCTCCTTGCTACGACGACGTGTGTCCGGGCGGCTACCTTCTTCAAGATGCTGCGCGATGACCCCGACTCCGCCAAGGCGGACCAGAAGGTTGGGGACATCCGTGCAGCGCTCGGCCTCCTGACTGAAAAGGCGGAGCAGTGTATCGACATCTGGGGCACCTACGCGGATGATGAAGCTCTTACCTGCTTTGCTGGGTGGGTGGCAAATTTCCACAACGCTCTGAAGGCGCAAACCGACATCGTCGTCGAGATGGCCAAGACGGAGTCGGATGAGCTTGCCGAGGAGCTTAAGGACGGCCTGGCCTCATTCACCATAGAGTCCACCCAGAAGGAGGCGAACAGTGCCAAGGATCTGGTGGAAACTATTTTCAAGAAGCTTAAGAAGCTCGAGGACAAGTTGAACCTCCTCGACGTCTCAAAGGATTCCGCCCCCGGCTTCGCCCGCTGCACTTCTGAGAAGGATCGGGCCCAGGATATCACCATCGGCTGGGCCGTCACCA